AGCAAACGTTGGTAAAGTAGAAAGTTAAGTTTACACTTTTGTAACTACTTCTATTTTGTGATTTCAGATGGTCTTTGATATGCTGGTACTTCAGAAGCACAATACAGAAATGACAACTGCAGCAGGTGAAGCATTCTACACATTAGTGTGTTTGCATCAGGTATGGCATTTAGACGCTTACTCCCTGAAAACCAGTCATTTGTTGAAGGACAGTGGTTAGTTACTGTGCATCTGGCAAATCACAAAATTGTTCAGGTTGTCAGGGACCCTCAGGAGGTCTGTAGTCCAACCTCTTCCTCAAAATGGGGTCAACACTGAATTCAGATGAGGTTGCTCAGGACTTTTTCCAGCTGTGTCTTGAAAACCTCCAGGATGGATATTCCAAAGTTTCTCTGAGCAGCCTGTTGAATGCTTTATTAATCCTTATAATTCATGCCCTTCCAGCACCTGACAGAGAGTCTTGGTGGCATTCTGGCACTCTGAATCAGTCTCACTGGACTCATTCAAATTCATCAATATCCTCCTTGTGTTAAGGAGTCCAAAACCAGACACAGTATTCCACATCTAATCTAACAAGCGCTGTGTAAAGACAGAAATCAGAGTGACAGAATGCCACCAAGACTGTTACCACTAAATCACCTGCTCTGTTCAGCAAGAGGATCCGCGTTTTCCCTGATCCTTCTTTTACTGTCAGTGTACTGGTAGAAGCCGCTCTTGTTGTCCTTGATGTCCCTTGCCAAGTTCAGCTTTAACTGAACTTCACTTTTCTGTCATTGTTCTTGTCCAGACAATGCTTCTCTTTTCCTCCTTTGTAGCTGTTGCTGCTTCTGTCTCCTGCATGTGTCCTCCTTGCACTGGAGTTCAGTCATGAACTCCCTGCATGGCTGGGTCAGCATCCTGACGTGTTTATATTGTTTTCTTTAGTATCTGGACAGGCCATTCTTGTGCTTGGAAGATTGTCCTTAAAAGACCTGTCAGCTCTCCTGAGCTCCTTTCATCTTCAGAGCTCTCTCCCACAGGATCCCACCCATCAGTCTCCTGAATAAGCTGAAATCTGCTCTCATGATGTCCAGGGTCTGTACTCTGTGCCCTCTTCCCTCGCTCTCCTAAGGGTCCTGAACTCCCCTATTTCATGATCACCATAGCCAAGGCTGCCTATTAATTACAACATCGCTGACTGGCTCATCTTAGCTATGAGGGGGAGATTCAGTCACCCCTGGATGGTGCATCTGGCATTCGAGCAGATGTCAGAGAGATAATCTCTTCTAAGTCTGATCTGGAAACTTCCTCTAGTTGCTTGAAGATGACTCAGTCCACTACTCGCCCTGTTTTGGTGATTTGTAACAAGCTCCCACCATGATGTCATCCTTACCACCTCTTCTCTGATCACAAACCAACAATCAACTAGATTGTTGCCCAGTCCATAGAAAACCATCCTTAATGTGAGCTGCCCTTTCACATAAATGTCAGTCTTCTGTCGTCTTCTTCCCTAAAGAGTTTCCCTAAGAAGCTCTAAAGAGCCTCTGTGTGTCCACTGGAGCACTCCAGTCATGCCATCTGTCCCACTACATCTCAGAGCCTGCAGTGACATTGCAGCTCTGCATCTGCACATGCAGCTCTAGCTCTTCCTACTTGTTTCCAAAGCTGAATGCATTTCTGCACAGACTTTTGAGGCTAGCCTCCTTTCAACCTGTTCCATCCTTCCTGATGGGCACTCCTAAACCCGTCACACTTCCTTGTGTCCTTCCTACTCTTTGTCGCTGTCTCCTCACATACCTACAAGCTGTTACCACCATTGCCCATCGTGCCCTTTAAAGCCCTTCCTGCCAGGCTGGTGGGCCTTCAGCAAAGATGTTACTAAGCCACATTGTCATATGGATCCTCTCTCTTGTTAGCAGCTCTGATCCCTCAAAGAGGGACTCATGAGCACGTAAGACAAAAAGACCCTGTGACACCAGCCACAGGTGGCAACTTCATGTTGTGTCTACCCCCACCCAAGCCCTTCACCAGCAGAATTTAAGGGGACTGCCATTCTGGCTCCCGTGTCCATCACCCTTGCTCCCAGAGCTCAGTGGTCACTCTTGACATGCCCCAGGTGCCCCTTGGCAGTGTCCTGTTAGTCACATTTAACGCATTTCTTTGTCTTCTGTTTCTGTCCAAGTAAGCATGAGAGTAAGCAGGAAACTCTCAGAAAGGAATCGAAGCTTTCTGCCCCAGGGAAGGGAATCTAGAAAAGGGAAACCTGTGGGAGGAGATGGTTGGCATGGCATGCAGAACACAGGGCAGAAGAGAGTGAAGAAAGAGAATTACAGTTTGCAGAAATAAGCCTTTGCTAAGTAAGAGCCAGAAGGCTCTTTGAAGGGTGTGCCTTAAAGTTTTCTTCTTACTCTGCACTGCAAAGCACCGTACCTAGTTCTGAAGGCTTCTTTAGCCTTAGGAAAAACCTGGTCTGATTTGAAGGGCTTATCTGGTTTAGTAGTAGGTGAAAGGCTGCAGGTCCATAGTCATTTTGGGTACAGTGGTCAGTGAAACTGGATAACAGGTGGAGAGGTACTGAGAGTTTTCTGTCACAGCCTTGATTCTGGATTTTGTCCTGATGAGAGAAGTTGTATATATTGTACCTTTTTTTTTTTTTTTTAAGTTAATAAGATTCATGTTTATTTAACAGGCTGAATATTCAGAGTTAGTTGAAACATTGCTGTCAACTCAACAAGATCCAGTAATTTACCAGCGGTTAGCAGATGCCTTCAACAAGCTTACTGCAAGCAGCACTCCTCCTACACTGGACCGTAAGCAGAAGATGGCCTTCTTAAAGAGTTTAGAAGAATTTATGGCAAACGTTGGTGGACTTCTCTGTGTAAAATAAACAACAAAACTCTATGCCTAATTTAGACCCTTTCTGCAAAATGCACTGAGAAATGCTGAATGCTGACTAAATCTTGTACCCGTCTCTGGGTTCTTTGCAGCCATCTCACATTCTAGAGAGCCTGGAAGTTTGAACATAACACAGTGGAATATGAGAGGTCAACTTTGAATCAGCTTCTGCTATTATGTGTTAGCTGCAATCTGTCATACTTGTGTGTGGGAGAGAATGAACAGAAAATTGGGATTTAAATTTTTTACATATATGTGCAAACAGATATGGGCACAACGAAAAATAAATGCAGTGCCTTTTACCCCCCTACACTGGTTTAAAATATGAGTGGCCAGATAAACATACAGTTTTCTTTTCTACCCAAAATCATGTTAGAGTGTGATACAGAGACATACAAAGCTCTAAACCGTTTAGCTGATTTTAAGCTTTATTTTTCCTCTCTTAAAAGTTTGAGTTTGTGTTCCAATGGGGAAAAACAACCAAATGGTATTTTAACTTGTGTTTAGTTCTGGTTTTCTACATCAACCTGACAAGGCATGTTTAATGCAATGCAGGTTTTTACATTATGTTCTGCTGCCTAAAGTTCAGAAAAACAAGATGTATATTTTTGTTCCCTTAAAATGAACTTTAGGAGCTGTAGCCATTTCATTGCCTTAATTTAAAATAAAATAAAAAAGCTCATATACTTTAGATAAGAAATTTAAGGCAAGATTTGACTCTTCAGAGTTGGTTTAAGATGTTGGCATTAAGCTGCTGTGTACCTGTTGCAGCCCTTCGTGTTGACATGTCATTTTGGAATGAGTGTCTAATGGAAGGTTCATGTGTAGTTTTACTTTCAGTATCTGTTTTGATTCATACCCAGGTTGCACGTAACTGCAATGTATTTCTACACTGAACTGTGTGCTTAAGCAATAACAACTCAAAAGATGTAAATGACTGGCAAACTTTTTAAAGTTGGGGCATTAGCTAAAGCAATTATGTTAGAACAGGGGTGTCAAACCCTTTTACTCAAGGGCCGTATTTGTTTGACTCGAGTCAAGAAAGGAATGGGGATGTGTAAGTGCTGTGGGGGATTTTTGGTTTTGCTGAATCTAGCTCCACTTCTGCAGAGCCCTCCCAGCTGCTCTGCTCTTGCTCAGTTTTTTTATATCAGCACTTTAGCTATTACAACAGCAGAATATCGTGCCCCGAGTATAGTGGACCAACAAGGGAGAGCAGCACAAAAGCAAGGTCTGCTTTGTCTCCAGTCATGAGCCTGAGAAAACTGAAGCAAACACAAATGCTGCGTGTGTAGTAAAACTGATTTTTGTGGAAATACATGGAGGCAGAAGTGGGCCCTTTTGTTTAAGACCTCTGCTAGATTATGCTGTTGAATATTTCCTATGTGTTTTTAAAATTTACATAAAATGTACAGTATACACCTTTACGTGGCTATGTATAGCATCATGTTTGCAACTCTGTGCCATTCTTCAGCTATTCATCTCAAAATTAATCACAATAGCCAGAATTTTTTAAAGGCATAAATCTGTACTACTGTGCTATAAGTGATCTAAGACTTTTTTATTTTTTAGTTAAATGCATACCTTTCTCAAACATGGATCCACAAGGCCAAAAATACCATCTCTTCATTATCATTTTCTCTTTTTATTTATGTGAAAACTATGCTAGGACAGATTTACACATTAAAAAGTGACCATGAAACTTGTTAGATAATGTACTTTTCCAGTTAGTATTTTATTTCTAAGATAACTTGTGTAGTATTTTAGAACAGGGGTATTTGCTTTCATTTTTATTTTTTTTTTAACTATTGCTTTTCTTTAAAGGACTTCTTGACTGTGCACTTGCACAAAAGATCATGATCCTGGCAAATCCTTCTGATTTTAAACTGTTCTGATGGCTGATTTTTAAAAAATTTGTCTGGGTTTTGCTATGTTTTTGAAACTGCTTCTGGAGTTTCTCTAAGTTTGCACATTGGATAGGGCAGCAGTTTTGAAACCTCATTTTTTTTTCAGAAGGAGGGCCTTGAAGCCTGGGAACGTAAACAGCAGTAGGAGCTGCTAGTTTGTCACGATGTGCTTGATGTCAAATATTTAGGCCAAAGTCTTCAAAGAGATCATAGCAAATGCAAATATCTTCACATTTTTTGGATCTGACTGAATAACTGATATTATCAGTCATAATTTCTTTTATAACTAGTTCTATCGCTATCTTTTTTTTTTAATCCCAAAGCTGGCTCACTATGTAAAAATATTTATTAACTTTAAATCCTCTTGCATATTGTGATGGATGAATGGGAGCACAACTTGAGTTAGTGTTCAGGACAAGGCAATGAGCATACCCATTACTTTTCTAATCAGGCCCATTGTGTTGTAAGACAGACCAATGTCTTTTGACTGTCAAGACTTGCTAAAGTATGAACACTTACTTTCCAAGACTAGTTTTGAAGGTTTCTTAAAACTTTTCTTTGCCCTTCATTTAACATTAATATTAGATGTTAAAAAGAAGCTGTCCTAGTAAGGTTTTTTGTAATTTTTTCCTGCTTGATATTATGCTAGACAACATTCTTCCTTTCTTGTTTCTTAATTTTTCTTCCATTCTTGTATATTCAACAGGGATTTTTCCATGCCATTTTATGTTTCTTATAGAGCAGATGCTAAAATGTCTCTGCTTAGTGACATCCATTAAATTTTTGCAGAATTTTCTGAGAATAAGTTTTATTAATTCATACTCCATCTGGATAAGTGGCTGCTTCTACCTTAACTATTTGGCTTCTGTATCCCTTCAAAAAAACTAAAAAAAACCCAAAATAAAAAATCTGTCAGTGATCTTCTATCAGTTGCTGTAAATCTAGATGCAAAAGCTCATTCAAGTCCACTAATCCACAGGAAAGACTCATAGACCACTTTCAGTGAACACTGAGGCTTGGCTCCACATAAGTGTGAAATTTTTATAGCATCACTGCATTGATTTTCCATAAACTGTGCAAAGTGAATAATGGTTCTAAAAATGCACCTGTTTTTTGAAGGAAAAAAAAAAAAAGAGGCATCTCAAACTGAATTATAAATGCTGCATGATATAACTGTAACAAATGTATGTCTAGACTTTTTTTGCTAGAACCGATATTGCTCCAGTGTTTTCACTCTGAAACTAGAAATCGAGTAGCTTCATTTTGCCAGCTCCTTCCCCATTGTAATAGCGAGTTCTAATGCTGGTATAATAATTTTTTGTTGTCCAGCCTATAATTTTTTATGCTGGCAAGCATGACCACCTAGTTGGGTCATGAAATTCAAGACCTTCTTGAAAGCACAGATACACTTGGACAGGGAGAAGTGGACTACTGCTATATGAAACTTCCACTGTCATGTGCATTTATGCCTTAATTGCCTTCACTGAATTACTGCTGGAATCTGCTACTTATTGCCCAGAGGTTTGTGTTTCACTGTTTAGTGATAAAGGGCTCACCGTTTTCCTCAGGAATGAGAAACTTGTTTTCTCAGCATGTCCCTACTAGTTGAAAGAGGGGGATTTGAATTGGAGGCATCTCTCTGGTAGTGCGTAGCACTCACTAAAGCCCCGGTGTTTACTTGGGTAAATCCCTTTACATCTAAGCATTGTAGTTCTAGAAAATAAGCTTGCTCAGAGCAGTCAGTTAGTTGTCCATTTAAAATCTGATTCTTTAAAAGGTAAAGCAAATTCTAATTTGTGATCTATAAAACTATTCAAAAATACAAATTGTAGCATTTCTTTTGTAAAACACTTCAAGTAATTTTAGTTTTGGTTAAATAATTACTTAAGAAGGGGTGTTTTTTATGGAAGTAGCTTGATGAATATAAGCGCAGGAGTAGGAGCCAGGCTCCTCTAATTTTGTATCAGTTTTCCCACTGGATCCTCTGTGGCCATTGGCGAGTTGCTAGAACTGTGTCGTTGTTAAAATAGCGATAATACCTACCTACCTCACAGGGATGTTGTGAGGATTAGCTTATGCCTATAAAGGGCATTGAGGATCTGAGATGCTATGTAAATATTAAATATTTGACATTTAGTTTTGTGAGGTATAAGATTTACTGTAATGAAAACAGAAGATTTTCATAATTATAAAGCCCAATAGTGGCAGCAGTGGTGCAGTATTCCCCAAGACTGGTCTACTGCAGTACAGTAATGCTTGCTGTAAATTGTAGTTGTTTCAATTACAGCTAGTTGAAATGGTGGCTGCTGCTTAGATAAGGTAAGATTCCCCACCAGTGTGCCTCGGTTCCGGTCTCAATAGTGAGAGGACAGTTGCGAATTATTCAGGCTTTGGTGCCTCTACTTGTGACAAGTGCCACTTGTGGTGATAGGGTTTTTTGTTTGGTTTTTTACACTTTTCTGAAAGATACAACTGCCACCCATTTCTCCTGTATCTGTTCCAGTCACTTAGTATAACTAAAATCTAATTATATCAATTAAAATTTAAAGAGCCAGCCCCACCCCCCTGTAGATTTTAATATGAGTAGATTTTGCCCTATTTCTAGTAAATTAGATGAATGCTTTCTAGCACTAATCATGAAGCAAATAATGAATTCTGATTTTCACCAGAGCCTTAAGCTCTTGGCTGTCTTACAAAACCCTTTTTTCAGTATGAGGTTTCTTGGGGCCCTAGCAACTGAGAGATATCCCTGGCTTTCCTTTCTCCTCAGTGAATTAAAGTATTTTCTGCTTTTCCATTTCTTCCCTTTCCCTATTCTGCTTTTCCTGTCCTTTTAAGCCATTCTTATAAAAGATTTGGGAGACCCTTCCAACCTCAAGGGAAAGATACTACCCGTGTGATTTTTCCAGTATATTACAGCTCGATACTTGACATTGGTAAAATCCTTTGTAATAGCATTCCCCAGCACATTTCAATTGCCAATTGAATCATTCTAGAGTTTATAATTGGGAAAAAAATTATCCTCTTTTATTTGTTCCCTTTGCGCAAAATAAGGAACCTCCATGCAGTGAACATGCAGTTTTAAGGCAATAAATGCTAGTACTGCTGTTGGTCAAGTGTGTAAATATTTTAAATGTATAATTCAGTACTATGTTGAGTTTATATATTAAAAACGCAGGGACTGAAGTGCTAGTTGATTTCAAGTATTGTTTTACCTGTACAGTTGAAGATACGAAGTTGCATAGAAATATTTCAGAATTTGTTGCAATAAGACTTGGGAAGTGGCTGTGTAATCAAGCCTTATCACAACTGAATTTTCAATTTTGAAATGGACGCTTTCTGTATTTTTAAGATCCATACGCAGGAGGAGGATACAATTGTTTTCTACTAAAGACTTTATTATTTTGTTTTGGCCATGTGTGATTTGTGTGTATTCTTGTTTAATATTTTTCTAAAATCTCACCTGTGTTGAGTCCCTGAAATAGCATTTGTTATACCTCCTTACAGTAGAAACAAAAATAGGAATGTTGTGAAACCTCAGGCTACACATTGTGCTCTTTGGCTAC